ATATTATTATTAAAATATATATTTTTTGCAAATATATTCTTATAGAAACACTTTCATTCTTCACCAAGAAGTAAAGAATGTAAAACTTTGTTGCCATATTGTTTGATCTTAGAGTGCTTGCATAGGTTTTGTCGTATTGTTTGACGGAGTATCAATTATAATGTCTTTTAATTTCAAACATAATTAATTAAATGTTAATTAAAGAGTAAAGATTGAAAGTCATTGGAGGTCTAGGACCTAGGTTATATTTACATTTGAATAACTATTATAAAATATATTTATATATTAAATTTAACGTATTGGTAATATATAAAAAATATTTACATACCGGAATGTACTAGGTTCGATGGATTTTTCATATTCTTTCCTTTCTCCGTAAATATAGTTGAAGGAGCACTCAAAATTTACTCCTAGTAGTTTACGGCTCTGTAAATGTGCCAAGTCAAAGACCTCTATCTTTAAGCGCAATATCTGTGTAGCAGCAGGAGTTTGTTATATTGGTATTTCAGCATGCCTTTGCATCTTTTATGGGATTGTAGTAGTATGTAAGATGTAGTAAGGGTATATATGTCACTAAAAGTTGTAGAGCTGGTCGTCTTTCATATCGAGTCGTTGCATCGTGCTATAATCGGAGGGAAACCTCCTTTAGTAAGAATGGGAAGAGGAAATAGAAATCCTACGAGTTGGATTGCTTGTGTGTCCAGGGAACAAATCCTATTTGAAATGGATGGTGTGAATTTGTCAAATGCTGGACAAGCCGCTCCCTGTAACATTTTCCAGAGTCTGTTTGACTGGCTGATATAGCTCCGATCGGAGAAGAGGTTCTTTACTTGGCGCTCTAGATTTCTTCTAAGCATAATGTTCAAATACTAGATCCGCAGATGTTAATGTTAATATAATTACTGACTTTTGGACATCAACCCTGCCAATAAGGCTAGTTTGTGCACTAGGCAGGAACAATGGTCACCACAAGAACAAGCACAATATTCATGAATTTTATAAAGATTGTTGCAACCTATGAATCATATAACAAATAAAGTTGCAGAAAATTTGAAGAAACATTCTTAGTAGAAGATTGAAGTTTTACCAGCTTAGCTCTTATTGGGAAAGATTGCGACTGTACAGCGGAAACTCAAAAAGGAATATAGTTTTGTACCATGAAGGAAGCATTCCATATAATCCAGGGGGCAGCAGAATAAGAGGGCTGAAACAATTCATTTCAAAAGTCATTGTTACCATCTAATTTAATCTACAATCAGAGAAAGATTATGAACTGACCTTGTTGTGTCCTTATATATTATATATTCAGCCACATTTCCGTATTTTTTGTCTGCTGATTCCTGTTATAAGTACACTTAAATGGTATAACGTCATACTCGAATGGGCAACTAAGAGATAGAAGCAACAAGTCAGTGATATCACCTCAAGCAATGGAATGCCACTAACGAAAAGCAGCAACACCATTAAGAAAACTGGTCCAAGCACAACAAGCCATTCAGCACCCTCCAGCACAGGCGTTGATGCCACAAATATTCCCCACCATAGAAAGATCTGAAGATAATATAGGGATCAAAACCTTCAATGTGCTAATGTAGTGCTTGTGTATGCACTGATCCTCAGCATAGAAGCAAATGACTTGTATATCCAACATATTTAGTCCAGAGGATATCAAATTCAGAAATACGAATTGAAAGTATAACCTCGCCAAAATAGTTTGGATGCCGTGAATACTTCCAAAGTCCAACATTGCACCACTTTCCTCTGTTCTCTGGGGAGTTTTTGAATGTTAACTTTTGTTGGTCAGCTGTGATCTCAACTAAAATTCCGATAGACCACATAATCCAACCAATGATGTCTACCGTCTGAAGAGATGGCTGGTGGTCACTTGCATTAACAACTGTTACTGGTAAACTCACAGTCCACACCCACATTGCCTGTAATACAAATTAAACTGTAAAAATCCTATCTTGCTGTAAGCATAAGCCCGCGATCATATGCAAGATAATGTGGTGTATATAATGGTTTGGAAAAGGAAAATGAACCTGCAATAGCCAAAATATTGTCAGTCTCCCCAGATTATCACGCTTATCATCAAAACGTCTATCCTCGCCCCATTGTAATATCCTGAATAGAACAAATAAGTAAAATCTTAGAGGCTGTAACAAGGATCTGATATGAAAAGGGCAATAGTCCTTTTCTCAAACTAACATATGCCATATAGTAGATAGGTATTTTTACCTCATTAATAGAAATATCCCCAGTCGAAGGCCCCATATCACGACAAACACAGACAAAACCACCTGAAAGAATAGACTTCAAATTTTTGATCCGCCTCTTTGACTCAGCTATAAACTTATGGGCACGTTTTATTAAGTAATTAAGCTCATTCTTGATCCAAATATGCACAAAATGCCAACAACATGTGCAGCAAAACTTATAAAACTGACTTCTTTAGAAAGTGAAGCATGGAAGTGCTAGTTGAAGGCAAAATTCCCGTGTGACAAACAGTAGGTAGTGGCAAAGTCCTTTATGAAATTTACTTAACACACACCAAAAGTAACTTGAACCAAATTCAACATTGTTAAATCAGAACTGAGGAAAAAACTTACCTGTCGAAAATTCCATGAACCCTTTAGTATCAAAGTTAATAATGCAAGCACAATGAAATTAGTACCTCCTGTATATATCCAGATGAAAAAAATGACACACAGTAGTATTAGTAAATGTATTACTAAGTAAGTTACTAGTAAAAGTCAAAGATCAGGGTTCATGATTTGGCTGCTTTTAGCTGTACCATTTTTGAACCACGAATATAACATAAATGGTTATGTAAAGGCTTAATACATAACCAACCACTTAAACTCATCTATATATTCCATTTATACGCAAGTGACCATGTTTCAGTTGAATTCCTCAACTCCTAATAAAGTGCTTCAACTAGACATTTTTTGTTCAAATTTTGATATTTGCTCATTCGTCTATTAGATAGTTAAGTTGACCACATAAAATATGTCATTTCTTTTACATATACACATTTACCTAGAGGTAAAACTCCAGACATTTTCTACTTCAGATTAATGTGTACAATTAAGAAATACTAGTAACATATTTTATAAAGTGTCTAATTGTAACATTTCATTAGAAGTTGAGGTGTTCTAGTGTCTAAATGAAATTTTCTCCGGGATTGACTATGTACTAAGTCCGGGGCGGTGCTAGCTTATAATTTATGGGTTCACGTCGTAGATATGTATTAAGAAATTTATAAAATATGTATAAATGTTAATTGTGAATTCAGATATACAAAGTTTTGACAAGAAGTGAAGGTAAATAAGAGTAAGTTGTTACCTGCGAAGTCTGTGACTTTATCGAATTTGAGGAGTGCTGTGATTATAAAAAAGATTAATTGGTAAACCACCTGCAACAATTATTTTTTGTTTGTGAATTGTAAGAAAGAAATAACAAAAGAAAGCTAAAAAAAAAGAGCTAACTTTACTTACTGTAACAATGGCGGTTAGACCCAAGAAATGGGAGTCGATAACTGTCCCCATTCGCACAAAATTCCTTTCTCTGTGTTAATATTTTTTAGTAGTAGTATACTATATTTGACCATGTTCTGAATATGTACTACGTCACCACTAGTATTGTCCTCTGATTTTTGTGTGGTGTAGGATTTTGTCGTCCAATGTTTTAACCTTTTGACTGACATTTTTTATGCCTTTCTTGTTTATAGTATATCAATTTTGATTCTTCCTTCAAAGTTCAAATCACACTACGGGACGGCTATAATTGTCTCATGGGTGTATGTAGTGGATGAGTGGCAACGGCGAGTTTAACTGAATTCAGTATTTTTATTGTGGAGTATAATTTTGTGTAACAATCCATGAAAGTATATATGAACTCATGACTATAAAAATAGAATGAGCTCAACGCTAAGACACTTAGGGATTGTTTGGTACAAAAATTAATAACACAAGAATTAGTAATGCAGGGATTAGTAATACATAGTTTATTTTTATCAAGTATTTGGTTCATTTTTTTCAACCTCATCTTGTGTTTGGATTAAAACTCTATAAAAAGCTTCTTTCCAATTATATCATTGAATTATTATGTAATTGGGTCAATGTAGATAATTGTCGAACAATATTTTTTTATAACATTCTAACTAGCTATGAGAAGAACAATTTTGTTGTGATATTTGCTATTTTTTCACTTGAATTATTTGATGATAAATAATTGTCATCTTAATAAATTAATCACTCACATAATCATTTTTCGATTTAAAAAAGATAAACCATCTACTTTGAAAATCGAAAAAACGGTCAACAATGATAAAACTGAATAAATTATCTACATTTACACATAAAAATTGCGAGAGGTAGTTATAATGTGTATGTAATTTTTTAAATTGTTCAAAATACAAATAATTAGAAAATCACACAAAAAAATAAAAAAAAAATTTAAAAAAATAAAAAAATAATAATAAAATAAAATAAAAAATAAAAAAAAAAAAAAAAAATATATATATATATATGTGTGTGTGTGTGTATAATCACAAACGTCATACACAAATAAACAACTCACATTTCAAATTTGTATTAGATTTATTTAGTAACAAACAACTCTCACTAAATAATTTGTAAGCTAATTATTTAAATAAATTTACTAGTGCAAATATAAATCATAAAATCAAGAAAATAATCAAAATAAATTAAAATGATTTGAGGGATATTTTTATCTTTACATAGACTTATCCCATGGTATTATATCCTATGTGTTACTAATACCTCCAAATGGAAGGTATTAGTAATACATCCTATAATATCATGTAGGAGGTATTACTAATTCATGGATTAGCTATGCATAGGCACAAATTTCTACCAAACTGGTACTAAATAATACCTTACATAATACATGGGCTATTTCTTCTAATGCGGCCTACCAAACGACCCCTTAAAATTGAATTCATAAAGTTTAGATCTTCAAAATATAGTCTAATGTTTGTTCGTCTCAAGAGCTATATTTGCACATGTTTCAATAATAGGTACAAAATATAAATGTTGACCTAAAACATAAATAAAAGAGCTTGAGCTTCTTTTAAGCAATTCTTTCTATTTTTTAATTACAAAAGAGAGTATCAACATGAATACACAAGGGAAGGGCAGATACACAATTTTTGAGAATTGGGGAAACACTGCTAAAAATACTAAAAGGATGAAACAAAAGAATCACAATTTGGCTTAAATATGAAGTATTATGTGATTGTCAGGTTCTTTGATGTCTTCCTTCAGTTTCTTGAGCTCAAATTTGGACCTGTTTAATCCAACGAAAAATAAGTCTATTTACGTTCTTCAGTACTAACCCTGCTCCGCGGATGGATCTTCTATGATTCGCGATGGCTGACCTCTGGCAACTGGTGGTTTTGGTGCATGTGAACTAGTAATAGGCTTTTGTAGTGGTTTCAGAGCAGCCATAATCTCAGCAAATGAAGGCCGTAACTTTGGATCTCTGCATGTACAAAAAAACACAATCACGAATTAGTTGAGGTCAGCTAAATGAACCGTTCTGTTGTATTGTAACCAGCAGGAGGCCTGACCAAAATTTAGTAGTGAAAAGAACGAAAGATAATGAAGAATCTACAAGTCTTCTATGTTGCTTGGACCCTCCAAAAATGCATAACTTTGGAGGATCCAACACACCTCGACAGTATTTTTGAATAGTCTGAGCAAACATAAAGTAAGTGACTTCAAAACTGCAACACCACAGAAACTCACGTTTGCCAGCATTTCCTGATAATGTCTGCAATAGCTGGATCCATGTAATCTGGTATGTCAAGACGTCGGTGCTGAAACCCCACAGCACCAACGACTTGCATTGGATTCATTCCTCCCCATGGTTGCTGTAAAGTACAAAGCTCCCATAGTATGACACCGAAGCTATATACATCACATCTGCAGGGGACAATTGATAATCCCACATCATCAATCATACATATACCAAAAGCCACTGAATGAATCTATTTGTGAAACTGTCACCCTATATTAAAAGTTCTAATTTTTGGCAGTCTATAATCACTCTAGTGCATCATTATTCAACATTTTTCAGTTGGGTAATATGGTTATCGGACATACTTTTCATTTGAAGGTTCATTTCTCAGCACTTCTGGGGCCATCCACTCTGCCTGAGAAACAAAATGACTCGGGGAATTATGAGATCGGATATGGAAAACCACTAAATATAGCAAGCATAGAAAACAACCAAATGTTTCACACTTCAAAGTATGATGGAACACTTAAAAGATACTTAAACAAGCATAAAAAGTAAAAAAGTGCCCAATTTGCACTATATAACCAAAATTGTATGCCTTGCGTGTAAACTTAACTCAAAAAGAAAAAACATCACATGCTACACCTCCACATATCTAATGGAAATTGGTGTTACTACTAATATATAGAAAAGAAATATCAACCATCAATAGATGTCAAACTATATTAGCAAGACAAACAGATCTAAGAATGTACTAAGGAGCATGTTTATTGACAATCATACAGAAAAAGCATTAGACTTCAACCGTCCTGCTTACCGTTCCAGCAGTCGACCTAGAAGAAAGAAATGTGCTGTGCTTCATTCTTGACAGTCCAAAATCACATACCTAGAGTCAGAAAAATCAAAACATATCACATGGATTCTTAAGTGAAAAGCAAGCAGCAAACTCCCTAGAGTTAAGAGTTAAAGGAAGTTCACCTTCACAACCCAGTTCTTATCTACAAGGAGATTTGGAGACTTCAAATCTCGATGAACTATCATGGGAGTGCAGTTGTGTAGATAGTTCATCCCTCGAGCCTGTTAGTTCAGTACAGCACATTCACCAGAAAGTCACAAACTAAAACAGAAGGCTTGAACAAATGGAGAAATTATAAATGAAAAAGTCGAGCATACAGCATCAAGAGCCATCCTCAACCTCCTGCGCTCATCTAGCTGATGGTTGGGTCGATGGATTAATCTGTACAAACTACCTCTGCAAATCAAAAAAAATATTTTGAATTCAAGTAATCATTACCAAGTTTTAGTTCAGATTTCCAAGTTAACATACAACTGCCACTTCAAATTAACTGATGACCATAAAAGTGAAGTATATTTTATATTATCCATAAATTTCTGCCCATAGCTTTTAACATACCTATGAAGAAACTCAGTAACAATTGAAAGATGTGGAGAACGAGTAACAGCTCCCATGAATAGAACAACATTTGGATGTCTGAGCCTTTTCATGATCCGCACCTTGCAAACCACAGATGAATATAGAGAATACAACAAATCAAATTGTAATCCAGAAGTTAGGCTAAGCAACACATCAGAAGATGAAGCACTGTGATGCTATCATCACAACTAGGGGAAACTGGATTGTAGTGTCAGAAACTGATTAAAATGGATTATGCAAGCAATATCTTCTGCTACAGCCTTCAGAAAGCAAATCTCATGAAAACTTTCACGGGCTTTGTTAATAATGCAGCAGAACTGATAAAATAAATAACTATATCACCATGATTTATAGTAAAAAGTGGTAATTTCTGGCTGAATCATCTCGTCTAAAAAATTATTTAAACCCAAATTACCTCAGGAACCAAAATGTTACCAGCTTCGGTAATAATGCAGCAGAACTGTTAAAAATGAACACATGTTGTGCTATATAATATGTATTGATAATTCGTTACCACCGTGTTACAGCAAGAAAACCCCATAGGAGATTATATAATGATCAGGAAAAGCAGAACTACAAACCAACAGGTTTAATGATATGTCTTGATTTCACTAAATACCTATGTATCATCAGGTATGAGTTAGGAAAAAAGTGCCAAGTTATTTATTTTTCTGACAACTTGAAATTTTGATAAATTTGATGAAAACAATAACTTCATTCAAGATTTTTCCATCAGTTTTTAAAATTTGTTCAAGAGTAAGATCTCTGAGGAGATGATAATAGTTACAGAGATTGTAATATTTAAGAACACTGATAGTGGCCTATGTTTGTCAAGAAGGGTAATACCTCACTTCTGAACTCCTCAAGGGATTCACCAGTTATATCTTGATCCAGGAACTTCTTTACAGCAACTTCCTGAAAATAAGAAGGCTTAATATATTTGTCTTAACTCAAGTTGAAGAAAATAAGGAATTCTTAGGTGTAATTTATGTGTTCCCATTTATAGTTGATGACAGTAAGTAATGAATGAATATGAGAAGCTATGGTAAAATATTACGTGTATGCAACAAATGTTTTGACCCAGAACCAGACATGTTCAGCAAATAACTCGGCAGTTAAATTAGCAGAGACATCATCACATCAGATTTGAAGTACAGAAATTCAAGCCAACCATCAAGTGTAAACACTACACAGTGTCTAGAATGTAATGGAAAAGTGGTTAACAAAGGAGTTTTCAAAAGAGGCATGAGACTCCCCAAAATTTATGAAAAAGAAGAGGGAAAACAAGCAGATGATACAGATTGTATATTCACTTCAACAAGTTTATGACAGATTTTTATGAGAAAATAACAGATTTTGACAAATATGCATTATATAGATTAAACCAAGATATCAAAGTATGCCTACAAAAGACTCATTCTTATTTTCCATATATAAACATACACAACCCAGTGTAATCCCACAAGTGGGGTCTGAGGAGGGTAGTGTATATGCAAACCATACCCCTGCCTTGGAAGGTGGAGACCTTGTTATCGATAGCCCCTTGGCTCAAGGAAAAGCAGTTCGAAAAAGAAAATAACGGGAGTGAAGAAGCCGTGGCAATAAACAGACTCATTCTTCTTTTTCATTTTAGCAAATTATGAGAAATAATCACATACATTACTAAGAGCCTGTTTGGATTGGCTTAAAAGTTGGTCAAACCTACTTTTAGGTCAGTTTTTGTTTTTGACTTCTGAAAGTGTTTGACAAATATAAAAAATAACTTAAAATAAGTCAAAAATGACTTAAAATAAGTTAGGAAGTGTTTGGCAAGGTCAAAAATGACTTATAATAAGTTTAAAATGACTTAAAATAAGTCAGAAACCAAAAGTAGTTCTCCCCCTACTTTTTATTTTTTGACTTCAAAAGTCATTTCAGTTTGACTTTTTATTTTTGACTTAAAAGTTACTTTTTTTAAGTCAAACCAAACAAGCTCAGTTGCAAAAAGAACAAGAATCTTCTCATTATTAAGTTCTTAAAGATTTGATCTACAACTCAAATCAATTAGATTTAAGTTCCAATCGATCTAGTTATTGAGATCGATAAAAAGAAAGCTTGGCCTTTTAATGCAGGAAGGACAAAGATGTCACTTAAAACTTCTTTAAGCCAACCCCAAGATACATAAGAAGAAACCTAACTGACACAAGGATAATGAACTTACAGTTCCATGCCACTCTCCACGATAGACCTCTCCATAAGATCCTAGAACATAGAAATTATGAGAAGTGTCAGATTACAGAGTCTAAATCACCTACTTTAAAGAACCTTCAGGTCTGTAACACAATGCAGGTCATACCAAGTCCGATACGCTCACCCAAGGCAATATCCTCCCACGGAATCTCACAATCTGCTACATCATCAAGTATCACATCTGATTTAGCACTATCATTACCGGTTGACTTATCTGACATCCTTTCACCCTCTGAATTTGCTCCTGCTGCCTCATGCTCTTGATGACCACTTCTCTGTTGCTCATAAACAGCAGTATCTGCATCTCCATCAACTCTTTCACAGTCTATATGATTAAGAAAGACAGCAGATTAACGGGACAATGGCACATATCTCCAAGCTTTCATTTTGTTACCAAGAAGGAACAACAAATTCGTTAACAAGTTGGACATACCTCCTTGTGCCTCATATTGCTTACTGACTGCTGCAGTTGTTGCTACCACTGCTGCAGCTGTGGCTGTGGCAGCAGCTGCTACGGGGAGGTCCCCGTGAGGGTTAGTCTTGGCTGCAACAACTACCATCGAAGAGGCAACAGCAGCTGCGGCGGCGGCGGCAGCAGCAGCAACAGGAACTGTTTTCATATGTTTCGGTGGAGCTACTTCAGACTGTCTAGAAACTTGCTGTTCACCAACTTCTCTCACATCTGGATGAGGTTCCAATGATCCACGTGCATTGCCCTTAGAGTATGGACTGTGATAAGGCAGAGGGGGTAAGAAGCGGGCTCGATTCTTATCAGATTGACCCCTGACTTTTTGGAACTCATCTCTTTCCTCTAGCCTGGATTTTCCCTCTATATGAGATACGTCTAGTTGTTCTGGATAGATCTCATCGAACAGGTTTGGTGGTGCAATAACTCCACTCTCAAGTAAAACAGTGTGCAGTTTTTGAGCTAGCTGTGGATTTTCTTTGGCAGCGTCAATCATGTATTGCGAAGCATCCTTTACTTTCATCTTGTGTGCAGCTGGGGAGCTAACACCTTCTGTCCAGGAAGGAGATCTTGCATGTGTAAAAGCAGATCTTGCATGCCCAGCTCTAGAAGATGTTTCCTGTCCTTGCTCCTTAGGACTGGGAGCCTTTGTAAAATCATGGAAGGTATTATAAAATTCTTTCTCCGCTTTTACCTGCAGTTCTGAATTACCAGAAGAGGGAGATTCATTTCCTGCACTAGTGCTTTCCGCAAACCTGGATCTCTTGTCTGCCGTTCCATAGTCTGAATGATCTCCCAATGAAGAAGCAATCCATCTACTATAGGAACCTGGATGAGAATCAACATCTTTGGAGGATGGACTGATGGAGAGAATAGATTCTTCATAGTCTCCATGTACTCCAGATGTGTCAGATGGAATAAGTGTTCCAGGTGCTGCCATCAAATCGACAATATACTCCCTGCAAATGTATCATCTAATTAGTAAATAGAATAAGATAATTCCAGCAGAAGAAATTATTCCAGCAAAAATTTATCCCAAACAATGTATCAACAAATCTCTGCAGCATACAAACAACAGCAGCAATTTAAGACCGTAAAATGCTGTAAATTGTGAAGGAAATTAGAAAAATCAATTCATAGTCCAAATTAATTACTATACATATTTTCTTGAAATGTTTTATCAGCTCAACAAAACAAACTTTTCAAGAATTTAATCTAGAAATTTGAACAGTATGCTTGTCATTGTTGTCAAAGACATGCTTGAGGGGTGCTTAAGCCCTTAAGTGAGATGCAGGGCAAGCTGCACAGAATGCCTGACGGGTGATCGTCTAGTGAAAGCACTAAGGTATGCGGCATAAACCAGCCAACCAACAGCTTTTTCAAAGTTTATGTTAGTTTATGAGCCTCAGAGGCCTGGTGCAAAACAGTAGATGTAGCTTGCGAGAAAATATATTAATTATTAAGGAAACTTTATAAATGAGCACTTTAGCAATTATGAATAGGAACTCAGAACTCTAGAGTTATCAATAAGAAAACTAGTCGCTAGTGAGAAACTTAAAAAGGTATCTTGCATTTGATCAGGAACTTAAGATTGATATTTACTTTGATTGACATGTTTTTCACTTCATTGCACTTCCTTTTCAAGTTTCCTACTAATATTGTTGGTGTTTGTGTTTATAGTATTTCTTTTCAATTATGTAAATCTTTCTTTTTCAGTCTGCGCCTTTTCTCATTAAGCAATGTGTGATGTGCCTTAAGTAGCTCCTACCTTGGCCCTTTGTTACTACATTTCATGTTTGATAAAGCCGATGCTTGCTCTGACTAAGCAACAAGGTGTATTTGTGCAATGCAAACCAACCAAGGAAGAATATCCAAGAAAAGTGAAAATTCTGACCAAGTTTCAATATGTATACCCCACCTGAGAGAACATAAAAGAAAAAGATTGCATCTATAGCATCAAGGAAAGAAGGTAAAGTGAATAGCAGCAACCTTCCATCGATTTTTACATAGTTCATTGCAACATCATCTGAACCTGTATACTGCTTTCCTTTTACTAATCGACAAGGAATCCCCACACTATCAGCTAAAACCTAAATAATTTTCAGAAGCAAAAAAAAAATAATTTAAAATGTGATGTTATAATCAAAGCATAGCAAATGAAAGGGTAAGGCTAACCATTAGCAAGTACCTAAAATAAAAATAATAGTGATGATTAGCATATTGACAAAGAAAAGCGCCATTGAAATGACTAATGCATCAAACCAAAATAAAAACTATGGACAAGTAATATCGTGAAGACAGAATTGATTGCTATCTACGAAAAGGATCAAAGAGAACAATAAGGTACAATCACAGAAGCAATGGATGCAGAATACTGACAAGTAGTTGGAAAGATCAAGAACTAGGGGACAAATACTGGAGTTGATTCAGATTAGAACTGAACCATGCCTATGCTAACGTTCTGCTTAAATGAGTTTATTTTTCTATATGACATTTGCCATCCACAGAACCAATCATCCTTCACGACGAGTAGAATTCCCTTCTTTAAATAGTCATATACATTCCGAGTCTTAGCCAACTAGACAAGTAAATTAGGCCTTAGAAGTGAGATTAGGATATTCAGGTATCTCAGGCATTTTCATTGTCAATAAGTAAGGGATATTACTTTATGAGAAAACTAAAAGATATCACAAACTAATTATAATCAAATACTGCTATAGATTTAAGAGTCCAAAATGCTTACTACCTTGAATAACAATGCACGATGACGAGCCAATCCAATGGTCAAAGAACCAAGAGGCAAAACCATACTCCCTAGAGTTGCCTTTAGATTATAACTAATACTTCTCCATGCAAGCAACATGCTCTCCGGATCCACAACTGGCCCCCCCATGTGGTCAGAAACAAGCACAGCAAGCTTATGTACCAAACTGCTGGCTGAAAAATCCATGAGTTTTGACCTCTCCTCAACAGCAATCTCTAGAGCTCTCTGTTCAAGTTTCAACAACTTGGAGTCCGCAGCTTTACTGACAAGGATGGCTTCCCAACTAATATGATCTGATACTTCCGTTCTTTGCAGATCAATGAGGGAGGGCATTTTCGAGGAATTGGACTCCATGAGGACACCATACAGATCATAAAATCCATCCAGGATCTTGTCATCATAGCTTAGAGCATTGTAATTCTGTGAAGCATTGATAAATCTATAATATGAGATATGTCATGTGTTAGAAAGGAATAAGGACTAGGAAAGGGAAATTTTTGCACAAACAGAAACTAATCTGACGAAACAATAGAGCTACTTATACACCACAAAATCAATCCCTCCATATTTTAGATAATGTAGCTGTCTAATATACCTTCTTGCTGATTGTTTAAGACGGATAAGCTATTGGAACCACTTAAACACCAGACAGGAATATGGAAACGTAGAAACCAGAAAATATGTGCATTGCTATGAGCCAATGACTATGATATCTAGACGGCAAAATATATATCGTCTTTGGCAGTGTTTCCTACCCGCAATTTCAATTTATCCCTCTCATTACAAAATTTCTAGTCCAATAATGTCAGTAGGGTTGAACTTGGCATCTCTCTCTCCTCAATTATATCAATCAAGTCTTATACTCATTGATCACTTAATTCCTCAGTCGAGCTAAACTTTGTTTTCTCTCACTACCTTCACTACAGCATTTTGAATTCTCATATTTCCAGTGACTTATCAGTGTTACCAATAGGCAATAGGTTCTCATTTATACCACGTCCCAGGACCTTATGATATGAGTAATGGTATTGGTGTTCCTTCCATGAGAAAACAGTACGCCTCCTAAATGACACAATTCGAATTTCCTTTTTACTTCTTTCAATATCTCTTTTTGTGACAACAATGGTGCCGGGCCAGCTTTTGCTTAGCTGGATTATTCCACCGGGTACTTCTACCTCCCACCAGCACAAGTACCGGGTAATTTAACCTAACAACGGTTAGGTAGATTCAAAGAAATCACCTAGTGTTTTTAGTCTTTGTAGGGAATTGAATCCTGATCAAGTAAAGTTTCACACTCCAGTCAGCTTGAGGCCATCCCCAGACTTAAAAGATGAAAGCCGATAATCTAAGTGCTTAATTCAGCATAAGGATTAATGAATCTACTAACCAATACCTTTGAGGAATGACAAATACAATCAACAGCAAGGCACAATTACCATTACCATTATAATACAATGCTCGAATTCTAAAGTCTGAATTTGATAAAGAACTAAATCAGTAGATGCCTGTTCAGCAGTGGTCAACCAAATCCTTAAAAAAAAAAAAAAAAGATACAAACTTCAAACTGCATACGCGACTATCTCAGCAAGGTAAGTCAGAACATAAGGGATAAAATGACATGGCCATTTCCTTTTCTTCTTTTTTTGTGAAATAAAATCCATATACAATATATTTACCTAAAAGATAACAGATTTGCTAAGCATTCCTTTAGGTGCCTAGAGCAAAGTAAGCCAAGAGTTGTGATATGAATAAAACCAAATAGACAGAGACGAACATACCCAATACCGATATGCTACAACTTCTGCAGGAGCATTCTCTGGGGCAGAAGAGCCTAAACTGATTTGCTTAACAGCCTCAATTTGAACTGCCTCAGGGTCTTCCTTCGCGCTCAACTCTAGAGCTAACTGAATTTGATACTCCTCCTCTACACCAGGATCCCTCGAGCTGCTAGACTCCGAATCACGCTGTACAGCATCTAAAACAGCATCAGTGCCACCAATACTCACAGAGTCAGAATGTTCCATTCTATTCCCTCTATTCCCATTTGAGGAAGACGGAGGACTAGGACTATGCCTATTTGTAACTGAATTTAACCATCCTGAAATTGCTGAAAAAGGTTTATTATCAGACCCTTGATAGCTTCTAGAGCTTGTATGCTTTTCAGGTGATGAAACATCACTTAATTTCTTGCTCCTTGAGGAGGATGTTGATCCTTCTGAATCCTCCGATTGATTGGACCCAATATGAAGTTTTTTAAGAAAATTCTTCATTGTTGTATTCACTAAACCACAATAATTAGCAGTAGTACTAAAGAAACAAAAAAGCTGGCCATAAACTTCTCTATAAATAAATGGATCCCGAGCCTAACTCAACTCCAAAAGCAGCTCACTGGTGGTGGTTACCCAAGTCAGAGACCACCTATCTCATTACTTTTTCATTCCTCAACACTCTCCATTGTCCCACTCCAATCATGAATCACAGTTACAAATCACTTACCTTAAGACCTGTAATAACAAGAACTACAAAGTTTAAGCTCGTTTTAACCAAATCAAATCCAAGAACCAAACTTTACTTCGTTTCTTAAGAGACCCCAGTTACCACTTCCCTCCTGAGCAGCAAAAAGACTCAATCTTGAAAACAAATTCAAGAATTCAGCCTAAAAACACTCTGCACACACAAAACCAAAAAAGATTGTTCCTTTATCCCTTAAACAACTAGTGCAAACCAAGAAAAGGGTATCAAAATACAAATGAAGATGTAGAAAATGGACAAAAAGAAGAAAGACTAATTGTACAGTTGAAATAAATGTGTCAATTAAAGTGAAAAAGGGGTTCAGTGGTCAGTTTTGGAAAGAGTGGGGGTGAGGGCAAAAACAACAAGTGGGAGTGGGGAAAGTAGGACCTCAATAATCAAGAATGACCCACTTTGTTATTCTGAGGTACCAGTATCACTACACCAACCAATATTCCCAGAAATTTCATGGTCATAGAAAAACAAAGAAAAAGGGTACCATGAGGAATATTTTGCTTGGAAAGGAAATTGAAAAAATAATACAGTAAACAACTTGGCTGCTTTTGATCTCTCTATTTTACACACAAAACGCAATGGTGAATGGCTATTGGTCTGATTTTAGCTCCCGACAGAGTACTAGAAGTGGCAATAAGTGGTTAATTGCTGTAAGCCTGTAAAACTACAGATATAGTAGAATATTTGAAAAAGAAACTAACTTTTCTTTGTACTATATTGCTTGCTCCGTTTCATCTTACTTGACTCTGTAGTTACTAAAAATGAGATTTTCTTTTTTTATTACAGCAATCAAATTTAGAATTAGACTAGTTTAATAAAGTACACTTTTAATAAAAGGTATATTAAAATAACATGGATCAAGTAATATAAAGCTGAGAAAATGGTAAGACACTCTTATTATGTTACTACAAATGAATGGGCAAAATTGGAAATCTCTTTTTAGGGATAGTGCAGCTGTGCAAGAACACTTTTTGTTAGTATAATTATTCCAGCTAGATAATCATAGTGGTAAGAGATTACAAATGACCTTGTTGATCATCTTTCATGTTTCCCTAAATTAGTTGTGTAAGTGGAAATTTATATATAGGATAGGATAGGTACATTTCACATGTGATTTGTTATATTGAAACTAAACGTTTAGTTTATTTGATTTTATAATAATTTAAATGTCCATGTAAAAGTGAAAGGACATAACTATTTGTTAAAGCTAAATTACAAGGGCAGATTCATATTGTAGACATCAAAAAAATTTGAACTCTACCAGCCGAATTCTATTTCAATTAGGGTTTTTGGAGGTTACTCTACCCTAAACTCTAGCTCATGTCTCTATACTAAGGGTTATATATTTTCTTTAAGAGACATCTTGAAAAATCCATAAATTCTTGAAATATTCATAAAGAGATTAAGATGTGGTCTTCAATGTTTGAGAAATACGTTGCTAGCTAACAACCCCTTCGAGAAATATGCTACTAGCTAACAATCCTCGAATAATCAAGGGAGTAACAGAATCGTACTTGCACTACTTATTAATAAAATATTCTTATTTCTTCATATTTTATTTATAATTATAATTTATTTTCTGACGGTTTAAAAAAAACGAATTCTCCTTTATGTTCCTAATCCTATGTTGTCTATTTCTTCTCATAATTTAATTTCTTGAAAGGATATAAATGATAAGTAAGAAACTTAGGAAAGACAATATGAAAGTGACATGCATCTTAATTAATTTACCACAAATGAAGATGTTATATTTATTTATTTATTTATTTGTATTATAAGATGAGCTGGAATAGTGAAAGCAGTATGTGTGGTTTGTAAATGCCCAAAAATTAAAGAAACAAAACCTAATTCTGCAAATATATTATTTTTTCTGTGGTATATATATGTGTGTGGTTGTGTGGAGGTTTCTTCCCATTGTTCACTTGCTACTTTGAGCAGACTTTCCCTAAAATGTTATAAGGCTGAATAAATTTGTCCTTTTATTTATCCAAAACTTAGGATATGAGGAAAAAGGTGCCTCATCTAGATAACAATTCCTCCTATAATCCTACTTGTATGAATCTTTAGTCCTAAGAACTATTATTTTATTATCGAACCAGAGTGACAAATCATGTTTTAGAGCACAAATTTCTCAATGATTTGTGATTAAAAAAAATTATTTTTCTAATATTATTTCAATTCACCAAACTATATCTTTGATGTATGATTTTTTTATTTCTCACGCACAATATTTAATACTTGTATTGAAATCCGACTAAACAACACATATGCATAAGATCAAAACTTTTTATTATCGTTGAAAAAATGATAAATAAGTCTCTCTCTGAAAATGAAATTGAAGGTATGATTTATCATATATTCTTGTCTTTTCTTTTTATATTCGCTCCAAAAAATCTCAATATACACCAAAAATAAATAATATTTCCTAAATATAATTTTATAATACAAATTTGAATCTGAATTCTCTAATTAACAACTCGAGATCTTCTAAAAATCTCATCACACGATCAGTGATAAGTATTTTTTTTTCCTCAGTGCCGTATTAAATTGCACTTTATGACCTATTATTTGGACGGCTGAAATTATTTTTGGTTGTCACAAAGAAAAAAAAAAATTGGACTACCTACTATATCCGTTTAAGTCCATGCGACGACATTTTCATTTTATTATTCCAAAAAGTTTTTTGATAACTTTTAAAATTTATAAATAATTTAATTTGACTTTTCTACTTTATCTTTAATGATTAAAAAAAATATAATCATGGATGTTATGATATGCTTAAAACAAAAATAAAAATTATAATCACCCAAATACTATGATATACTTATGTTACATTGAGTTCTCATACTAATCGAGAAGAGTATTATCGGTCTTCATACTATATTAGGTAATTCTTATTTATCGGTTTTTGTCGTTAATGTTGAGTTAAATTTACACAGTTAATTTTTTTATTACGATAATTAGAAACTCATTTTAATTTGTAGATTATTCAATGTTGGACCCTCATCTTATATTGTTCATGCTTCAGATAATTTAATTTTAGATATTCGAAAGGTGTTAAAATTCTCACATCGAATGTTATTGGTGATGGAACATTCTTGGAAGATGTATCATATTTTTGAGGAGATAAGATGCATGGTGCGACTGAAGCAAATTAAAGAGAGAATATTATCAGATAGGGAATTAATTGTATACAATGAAAATAAAGTTTGGTTCCCAAAAGGCAAAAGTAAGGTTATGGTGACCATCTAGAAAAGGAAAAATACGAAAGTTGAATATATATACCATTTTAAGGAATACGAAATCATTTATGGTGGAGCAACCACCGAAATAATGATCGAGTAATATGAAATATAGAGAGTATTATTTAAATTTTTAACTTGATATAATCTTTGTCTTAGCTTTGAAGCTTTTGTGTACTTTAAAAAGTGATTTTAAATTTATTTTAGAAAAAATATGATGATTTTTAATTTCTGATTTTGCCGCTCTTTTAATAAAAGTTTGTGAACTAAAATATTTTTATTTATGATCTAATTAACTCAACATAAGTTTAGGCCTGTTTGGAAGGACACCCTGATTATTGGATTTGGTGTAAGTACATTGTCTTGTCCTGTTTGGAAGGACAGGTAATTACTTGGTCAGCAGGTAATTGGTGTAATTGGCAGGGGGTAATTACACTCTATAATTCACAAGCAAAGGCTGTGAATTGCTGGTAATTACATGGTGTAATTACCACCTGATTACTTTTAATTTCTTTTTTTTTTAATTTCTATTTTTATTTTTTTGTTTTAATTTTTTTTACTTCTATTATTTTAAGTTCTTTTTTTATTTTTATTATTCTAAAAATTTGCAAAAGTTTATTTTTTATTTTTTATTATTATATTTCATTTTCTTCTTATTCTCAACCTTACTTTACGTGATTCTATGTAATTTTCTTGTATTATCTATTTCTTTATGTCATGCTTATTTTCTCATTAGCATAATTTTATTAGTATTCTAATTTTTAAATTAAAATAAAATTTATTGTTAAGTAAGGTTATAGACTTACGTTTTCTTTATTAAGAAAAAATAAAAATAAATCATATTTATTGCTATGTTGAAATTTGTTATAAGAGTATTATGTTAAATTTTTTGTTTTGAATTTATAACCTATGTTATATTTTCAGTTTCATTTGTTTTAGTAGTATTGAATTTACATTGCACGTGATTTTTAATTAGACTTGATAGATTATATTTTTGTCAAACATTTAATAATTTATGACATTTTATTTATATATATATATTTTTTATCAAACTTGCATTTCACGATGTTCGTAGAAACTTCATACTTTTAGTTGTTACGATCAATTCAATTGAAATATATTAATTTGAAAAAATATAAATCAATTATTTTTTCATAATATTAGTTACAGAAAATATGTTTATTAATTAATATATTTTCAAAAAAGAATATATATCTTAAATATTTAATTTAATGTCATTTATAAAGTTTCTTATTTGTCTAGTATAAATTTTAAATAATTAATTTTTATTTTTAAAATTTATTATAATTTTATGATTGCAATTGTGCATCCAAATAGAACATGTGTAATTACACTGTGACATCCAAACAGGACATGTGTAATTACACTATGCCAACCAAACAGTTTAGTGTAATTACTAGACAGTGTAATTACTAGGCTGATAATTACTACCCTGGTAATTACACCAATTCCAATTAACAAGTGACTTTCAAACATACCCTAAGTTTGTACAAGTA